GAGAAAACGTTATGAAAGTGGAGTGCAGGAAAGAAACGACATGTAAGTCTTTTTCTAATTGTTTAATGGTTAACCCTTCTTTACACCCTAATATCGGTATGCATACCAGCAATACCGTTCTTAATACATTTCCTATGGAAGTGACCATGATAATTTGTTTAAGCAATTGAACACATTTTTTTGGGCTTTATAACGTGATAAAGCCACTCGGGATGTTAGGAGGACGCGAGGAACGCTTTTTGCGTGTTCTTCCAACATCCCAAGTGGCTTTATCACGTTATAGAGCCCGCCGGAAAAAAGCGTCCTATTGCTTTTATGACATAACTAGTTACATACGGGCTCTATAACCTGATAAAGTATCCGCTTGGAAACTGAATTGACCAATCAGACGATGCGTACTTTGTTCATTCTAATTGTTGTGAATATCAATCATGAGCTCCTTTGGCTGGCGATCATTTCTTTTATTCGCAATACCTTCATTTGCGATTCAGCAGTGAAAGGAGAAATTAGACACTGGTCACTCGAAGGGTCATAGATTTAAGTCAGCGTGTGTGCTAAAAAATCCTTCCTGCCAAAGCTTTAACCCGTACTTTTCGATTAACTGCGGCTTGTTATCCTTCTAAAAATGTTGCCAACTTTTATGTGTTGGTTATTGTTCTTCAAGTTTACAGGCTCATTTAACCGTTCTATTCGTACTTTGTTTATTCTAGGGGAATACATCTTATCGAGACGAACGAAGAAGTATGCGTATTTTATGAAAAGCTTAACATACAAGGTGAGAGAAACTGTCGTTAAGTTCTAAAACGGCGTTGCTTTTGAAGTCTGTAGAAGACACTGCTGGACTACCCTGGTCCCAGAGGTTCTCTTCTCTCTACCGGAGTACGAGAATGCGGCGCGAAGCGCCGACCAACGAGCTGCAAAGCAGCGAGCGGAGAGAACCTCTGGTCAGGACCGTTGAGAATCTCACTTTCATGCCACCAAGCTTCGTGTGACAGCCATCAATCACGCACCTTTCCGACAACCAATCAGAGGTATTTTACCCCCAGAGGTATTTTAGTACTTTACTTTGTTTGGTTGTGGGAAAGGGGCGTGATTGATGGCTGTCACCCGAAGCTTGGTGGCATGAAAGTGAGATTCTCAACGGTCCTGACCAGAGGTTCTCTCCGCTCGCTGCCTTGCACCTCGTTGGTCGGCGCTTCGCGCCGAATTCTCGTACTCCATTAGAGAGAAGAGAACCTCTGGGACCAGGGTACTGCTGGACTGGTTCGTGTAGGTTTTTAATTTTAAAAAAAATTATGATAAAAAAGGTGCATGAAAAGAGTTCCTTACAGTAAATGAAAACACATTTTTCAGACACGATGATTCGTAATGGAGATGTGGAGTTGAGAGCCAGAGAAGAAGAGATACGTTTTCTGAAGATGGAGGTAAGAGACTTGTGTTGAAGATGTTGACATTTTCCATTTTAATTGCGGAATCTTCCATTAAGAATCAAGAAATGTGACCATTTATGATGGCAAGGAAATAGCGGATGGTAATGTGAGAGAATCGCGGTCAAAAGCTTAGCTCAAATACCAGATTGCAGAGTAAGACAGAAACCGATTCAAACGCCGAGTTAAACGTTGTAGACAGTATAATGACGAGCTGCATGAAGCGCAAGAAACGTGGGTGAACACACAAGCTGCATGAAGCGCTAGAAACATGGGTGATCAAGTCGCGATTCAACGTGCGAATCTGCATCTGATTGGTACAGATGTAGAGTAAAACTAGAGTTGTAGGAATTACTTGAGAGATTCTTTTCCAAACACTTAACTTACAACTCTACCTGTAGCATTGAAGTTATCATTACTCTAAAACGCATGTTATTTGTTTGCAGGTTAATGAGACTAAACGGTCAATAGCAGTTGCCCAGAAAAACATGCCAAATAAGAGAGCCTTAGACAACGAGCTGGTCACCTTACAGATTCAAGTAGGTTTTGATATTTTCTACTTTTTAAAATCCTATTTTAACTGTCCTAGTAACATAAGATGGTCGATTGAGATAGACGGGGAGTTTCATTTAAATGGTGCATTTTCATTTGTAGCTTGTAGCTTGTCGCGAGCGACTCGCCCAGCTTGAGAAGAAGCTCGAAGATCCTTCGGATGAAAGTCGTATTCGTCTTCTTGGCGGCGAGGACCCTGAACCCGAGGTACTCGCCAAGAAAATAGAGGAGCTGGAGTTGAGACTGGCAGAGAAGGAAGAAAAGCTTCTTGAGAAAGATTTGATTTTTGAAGAGGTCACAAGATTGGCAGACGGAACAAAGAAAAAGTCTGAGACCGGCAAAGAAGATACATTAGAATTAGCTAAAAAGGTCTGTATAGTTTTGTTGCCAGTACAGAAAACTTTATTTACAAAGTTTGGACAAATTTTACTGCTGATGAAAGATTCCTTTAAAATTTGTTGATGTAAATTTGAAAATGCTCTTCTTGTAAGGCAAATGAGCTCAACGAAACAGAGATCTACTACTTCAAACGGTTGTCAGTCCATCGGGAAGAGAGTTTACGAACTAATGCATGCCCCTTAATATCTCCAATGATCTGTCCCGAACTGGTTTGTACCATATTTTTGTCCTCAGGTAAATGAATACCAGGCCAAAATAAAAGACACCACTCGTAAGATGATGGCGCTGGTGTCAGAGCTGTCCATGAATCAAGCAACCGCCTTGAAACTTCAGCAGGAAGTGAAGGGCAAGGAACAAGAGTTGGAGCAGTGTTACGTCCGCATGGAGAGAGGAGAGGCACCCAGCGAGGAGGCTGAGAGGGAATGGGTCAGAATGGTTCGCGACGAAGAACGTAGGACGAAAGAACTCTTGGAAAAGAAAGAGGTTTCGCGTTAACTTTAAATGTCGCTCAATGTCAACAATATTTGACTTACCATATCCACGATAAAATCGGCACATAGAATTTCAAACAAAACAAGTATCATTGAAATCCATTGCAAACGTAATACCATATTATAACTCGCAATTTCGTAGGTGTTAGGGGTGGGCTTTAACTCAAATCAAAAAATTGAAAATTATAGGATCCCACATTTTCTTAGTCACAAAAGTGGGATACTTGCCCGAAGGGTCATTCTTATCGTTTCTCTCGTCGCGCGTACTTTCCATGTCGGCTTCTTGGCTCTAGTTGCCTTAGAAATCTTTCCCTACTACAAAAAGGGAAAAGTAATCATACACATGTTCCGTAGGCCATTTGAATATGTGTATATTGTTTTGAACGCATGCACTCTTATTAATGAGCGCCTTTTGAACACTTTGTGAAAAAATGTTTTGCCTTATTTTCCACAGCGTGAAGAGGAGGAAGAACATTATCTACTGCCTGGCGGGGTCTACACAACAGCCGAGCCTCGACCTAATGCTTATATCCCGGATGATGACTCAGAACTTCCCATTCCCAGGCCCTATGGTTCATTAGCACCATTCAAGCCCACGGAGCCTGGGTCAACAATGCGTCACATTCGGAAACCGATAATAAAGCCGATAGAGATTTAACGTAAAAGCTTGCACGATCCATGGTCTGTTTGTGCGCCACGACTTCAGCAAATTAATGAACTCAGTTTGGGGTTCCTTGTAACAAAGCTCTGATAGAACTTTTAGTTTCAAAGAGTACAGCCTTTCCACTCTGTAAATACTTGAAGATAGCAAATATTTATTAAACATCTACTTAAAACTAGCCGCACTGTCGATGAATTCCCATTATATCGCATCCATTAACAGACAACACGTGGAGCAGTTAATTCCTTTAAATATAAGTGCCGTACAAATGACGTTACGGACTGCAAAGCGGTCTTAAACTTTACAAATGTTTCTTTTTATCCTATTAATTAGTGCTGTAATACACCGATTTCAATAAAATGGCTGGCGGTCGGACAAAGTATGGGGTGAGCACCAAAACGAGGCGTTTTAGGATAAAACCATGGCGTTTTCTGTGAAACTATAAGAGTATGATATTCCTGGTGCTTGTTTAGAAGGTCGAAAGCCATCTCTGAGGAAAATTGATGAATTAAGATTTTGGCTTAAGTGTCAAGGTGATCGTGCAAAAGGTTTGACTACGACTACTAGTAAAACAGTGAGTTAGTGTTTTTGTAGTCCGTATTGTTTGAACTTGGATAGCTTGTAAACAAAGTCTGTTGTTTAGTCCGGATTTTTCGGTTATTTTTAGTGTGGAAGAGTATATTTCCAAAGAAAAAGATACGAATATCATTGATCCAGACCCAAACCAAATATTCACGAAGAGAAAGCTGAGCAAAGTTCGTTAAGTTCATTAAGTTCGGCGTGTTTTTGTTTTAAATGCTTGATTTCTCTTGAGGCATCGTCCTTTTCCTTACACAAAGCGGTTCTGTGTCTACATCATGA